TCTACTGTTGTGCTCAGGGGATTTCATCCACTTCATAATATCAGTTGCGGGATGTACGATGCCTTGTTCCTACAGTTGAGCAAGAGTTCTGCATTCTCCTTATACTGCCAGGTGCATGGATTCTATTCATTGTTTTTACAGTTGAGTTAGAATCATTATTTTCCTGTTCATAATACCAGGTACAGGATGATTATCTGTTCTTATGGTTGAGATGAGGCTTACACACAGCTGTACAAGCCCTGGTTTAGAATATTGTACTTCCCAACTCCTATGGTTGAATTTGGAAGTTTGTGTGATGGTTGCTGCTTGCTTACTTCTTTATTGTCATTCTGGTTGCTTGCAGTATAGCACTGTGTTTCCTTATGGGTAGAGTTGGTGTATATTTTGCTAAAGGACCACTTAACCCAGCCACCATATGCTGTATATCTTGATTTTGATCTTATGTGAGCACTTCCACCTCATATTTCCAAGAATGGTGTTGAGGAAATACCTAGCAATGTCTAGATGAATGCCTCCATCTTCATTATTCTGAGAACTGGCCATTGGTTTTCTGTTTTTTCCATGGGGGTTTGGAGTTACCTCTCACTGTCCATTTTTTCCTCTTTATACTCCTCATGATTCTTTTCCTTTCAGAGTCAGTTTGTTTCCAGCCAAACGTATACAGTTGAGTATTGCATGGGACTCATGTTGATTATTTACACAGTTCTGTGTTTTCTGAGGTCTTTATTTTGCTAGATCAATGCCTCGATGCTGCCCATTTCATAACAGTACACTTCTTTAAGGCCAAAAAGCAAACCTGTTTCAGAAGTGGTGCAGTTCAATGCATTAGAGGTCAGTGGAAGATTGAAAAAAAGCTGATGTGTAAGCCAAGGTAACTATTTGAGTGTAAGAAAATGATAACATTCAGTGAGCTTTACTATTAGCAACAGAGTACTGCTTTGATGGCTTGAGTGACTTCACCACCACTATACTAAGATTGTTTTCTTTAGTCATGCTATTCACTGAGATCTTATTTATATTGAGTATGTAATGTAAATGACAGTGTAAATGTAATACCTTGCATTTACTTTAAGTAAAGGTAATTTGTAGTAATTTGCAAATAATTGTATAACTTGCCAGTTGATCCAATTAATTATGTTGTATCTCAGTGTCCTTAATTCAGATGGAAATACCAAATAATTTAATGTAATTAGTAAAACTTACTAATTATGCATGCCTTTATTAGTATCATTAATGTAAAGAAGAAAAGTCAAAGGTCCATGCTCTGACCCTAATTTCACTGGACTTCATTAATAACAATTGTTTACTTTCTTTGATTTAATCATTCTATGACCCATGGAAGCTGTCTGTGACCTGATTGGGGTGAGATCGAGTCCTTCATGCAGCCTGGGGGTATCTCTCTGGGAGGTGCTGATTTGAATTTTCATTCTGAAATGGGATATTCTGGGAAGAATTTAGACTCCCTGTTTCCTGCTCCTTCTTTCACTAGAGCTTCCTCTCCTGAGGACTCATCTGATCAGCCACCTTCTGCCCCTTTTTCTGCAGTTAGTTACACATGTTTGTGAAGTTTTGGAGATGCAACCAGTTGCTTTTTGAGTCTTGCCCTGCTTTTTTGTCTGATCATTCTCAAGGGGATTACTTAGTTTTTCTTCCTTCTCCTGATATTACTGTGCATACAGGGAGGTTTGTAACACAATGTCCCCCCCCTCCCCTCATTTATCTGAACAACATGCCCTGGCATATCATTGTCAGGAAAATATATATTTGGACACTCAAAGGTTGGATCTATGGGGTGGCTGGTACGAACCTATTATCTCTTAACAGGTTGTCTGAAGCATATCACCGATTGCCTCAACAATTTGATGATGAACTGGGCCATTTACTGGTCACTACTATGACACGTTTGTTCTCTTCAGGACTTGCCTTGGTATCGTGGTTGGTCTGTTGCTGGGACTTGTTGAGTCGTGATGCATTTTTGGAGGGTATTCACTTACCTTCTTCTGCCCTTTGAGATTTATGTTTGCAGTCTTCTTAATTGTCTTTGGCTGCTAGACCCTATTTTATTTTCATTTGTACTTCTGCAGGTTAATCCCTTCATGTCTCAAGGCCCCTTCCTTCCACTCCTCATTCCATTGGTTCTCTTAATCATTTCCATCCTTATTATCGGGAGATATTTTGTGGGCCTGTATGTGGACTTCTCCTGACACGTTCATATCTCATTACCTTCACGATCTGACAGTTTCCTCTTCAAAGTGACTTCATCTTCTCCTTGTGGCTGTGTTGACTACCTCTACTAGATTTTAACAGGATGGTGAATAATGTTTTATCTGATTTACAGTTATTGTTCTTTTCTCTACTAGGGTCCCTATTGATTTTTTTTTGGATCCCACTCAGTGGTGAGTGTTGCCCAGTTGGGTATGCTTGTATTTAAAATCCACACTAGCAACCTTTATATCGGTTCCTGTTTGCAATGGGCTTTGTTGAGATGAGGTGTTCTTTGCATCCAGATGGTCTTATGTCCATTAGAAATATTGTAATATGATATCACCATCCAGAAAAGGACAGAGATCATACAGAAAGCATCTGCAGAGAACAAATGTATGTCACGAGAAGTGGTATCAAAGTGGGGAACACCGCACTACATCCAGAACAGGTATGCTCTTCACCCAGAACTAAAGAAAATTCAGAAGGGTGGAATATAATACCAGTATGATGGTCCAGCCCTGACCAAATGGCTGAGGTTCCACAACTCGGGTTGGATTTAAGGAGTCATGGTACCCATATCCCATGTTGGTGGCCAGGGCAGTCAGACTGCAGATATATATATCTTTGTGATAGGATCCCTACCAGTAAACACAGAATGATGCATTTCAAACCAAAGGATTAATGAAAGAAATAAAGCAACATCAAAGTGGACAATCCTTCTGATCAATCTAAATAAGTCCAAAAGGCAACATCCCAGGTCTGGATTGACAGGATCACATGCCATACTCCACCAAAATCCAGAACTCATCCAGTCTGGATTTACAAACAGTTGTCTTCATTCTCCACCAAGTGGGCAAGGAGAATTCTGCCTACCCATGGAATTAAGGAGAGGATGTGGATCACTGTCCCAACAAGGACCAAAGATGGGACCGTGTCACGTTCAGATTTATGAAGAGATAGTGGTCCTCCTGCATGAACAACATAAGATCTGACAGTGTTCATAAGAGGGTTCAAGCACCCCCCCCACCAGATACCTAAGCATCAAATTAGGATTGGTTTTACAAGTAGGCTCCAGCATAGGTTGGTCATGCTCCTACCAACATCTGGGAAAAAAACATCCAGGGACCCAGGTAGGAGGGTTGCCAACTTCACCTTCTTCTCCGAGATTGGAGAAAATTCAACACTCAGAAGGTAAATCCTCTGTCCACCACCCCAGCAACTGGGAACTGGGTGTGGTTAGGACTCCCGAGCTCCACTAGTAGAAGTAAGGGGGGGAACATAAGCTTTGGGGAGTCCTGAGGATCAGGTCTCCAAAGACAGTGCAACAGGTGAACCATGTTCCTTAATTTTTAAAATCAAACTGATCTCGACTGATTCAGCTCTAAGATCAGCAGGGACTGGCAAAAAACCCCTTAGCTTTACTTATTATAGTTCATGAGTACCACTGAGTGTGTGATTCTAGCTATTGGTGTCAGTGGAGGTATGTATGTTTTGGAAGTTATCATTTTCCTAATCTGAAAATGTATTTCCAAACATACACATCTCTGCTGACACTCTTCCTCCTTTTCTCCACACTAAGAGCCGGTGTTAGTGACCGGAATGTGGTAAGTCTCGAAAAAGGGATTTTATTGTCTGTATATGGTGCTTATGTACACTACCTGCATAGAGGGCGTGTGAGGGCCAGTGTAAAGTTTGGCAAAGTAGAAATTGATAAGGGCAGTCGAGTGGGGTATATAAAGACTGGAGCAAGCAAACACAACTTTAGATTGCAAAGACAAAGATCAAGAAATAGCTATTAGTGTCAGCAGAGGTAAGTATGTTTAGAAATACATTTTCAGTTTAGGAAAATGATAACTTCTAATCATTATTCTATATTTGAGTGCATAACTATTATTAAATTAATTATATGTTCCATTTTATAAGTTGGTTTAAGATATGAACATACACACATGAGAATTATTGATATTGTTAACTGCCATCATGTATAATTGCAAAGAAGTTTTGACTAAAATGCTGTTCAATTTGTTATAGTCCTGAATAAATCATACAATAGCAAGAACTTGTGATGAATACAAAATAATGCAAAAATGATTTGTTGTTTAGTGATATAAAATTTTACAAAATTAAATGTGAATGTTTATTTAGGAACTAGATGGCTAAATTCAATTATATATATATTAATTGAGTTGTTTAGTTGGGATTTTGAAGGACCTTCCTTTCTCTCACACTCTTCATCTTCTCCTCATTTATGTATGTATAGCCCCCAGTGGCACAGTGGTATGCCTTCGAACTTGTACCGCTACAAACCAGGTTTCGATACCCATGGTGTGCAAAGCACAGATAGCCCTTTGAGTAGCTTTGTGTTTAATAAAAAACACTAACACACACCATTTATATACAACTGCTTTCTGCTAAGTCCATCTTTTTCAATCAGAAGACCAAGAATGTTCTACTCAAAAATAGAAATGACCATAAACAACACACTACTGTCTTCAAACCCAGTGTAACTCCGTCATTAATAGTATGCTAAGTTACTGTCTGGGATAATGGTAAAATCTTAATGAATATGCTTGTGCAAAATATTGTGACAGTAGTATATTTGGAAGAGCTTAATATTGATTTGATTCCCACCTTTCCAACTCTGAAAAATTGATAGTGCAATATAATAGTCTGATGTATTATAGTTTTACCAACCTGAAGTCTAAACCTTAGTTGTTATTAATTTTCAATATTTAAATGCATTGTAAGTATGATACACTGTTGTTAACTCTCATACTCTAATTTCTCTTTTCAAGGATGTGTTCTTTGATTCATAAAGTTAGAAATATTTTTGTGAGAGGATCTTTGAGAATTCATGCAGCAAATTATAATCATGCATCTTCAAGAACACTGGCAAGGATGCTGTCTGATCCTGAAAACAAAGGAGAACGACAAGAGCATATAAACTTTGATATATTAGGTACCTGGGATAATAGGATTGATCTTCCAATATTGATGCAGCAAAGTATCAAACTTGGAAAGCCAATACCCCAAATATCAATTAAAAATGTGGGAGTTGCTTCTGTGACAGGAAGAAGACTAACAAATGAAGATAGACTGTGGTAGGTGAACATACATACTTTTGTAGTTACCTAAACTTGAATATGACAGCAATAGTAATAGATTTGAGCTTTGAAAGTCGAAATGTAGATGTTAGCTTTTGCAACATTGTTTTTGGTTAGAGTTATAAACTTTGGTGATATAGTGTATACAGTGTTTTTGGTTATTAGTTTAGACTTTTGTTGGAATGATTTATGGATGCAAGAACATAAGAAAAAGCAAGTTGAGTGAAGGTCATTTGGCCCATTGAGGTCACTGCTCAACTGTTACACCAACCAATAAAAGCAATCAACGCCAAACAACATAATGTTTTTCCATCAAGATTATCATACTTCTGACACAAACAGCATAGTTTGTCTTTTTAAATATTTAATATAACTGAAGAGCCCAGTAAACTGTTCATGAAAACAAAACATTTTAGGTTTTCAATTAAAACTTTTACAATGTAACTCTTTTTAGATCCACAAGAATCTTTCTCTGTTGTGAAATACATTGAGTTATAGCATTCCTGACATCACTCTAAAACATTATTAACAATTAGGCCAATATACAAAATTTCACAGCGTACAGTATGCTACCAAAGTTAAGAGAATTTAAAAAGTGTCAGCTGTATATAATCTTTTAATACTTTATAAATTTTATTTTTTGTTTACTTCATTAAATTGTCATTGTTATGAATGACACAAGTCCAGACCTTTCCTTATTTCATTATACTCTCTATTTTATTAAACTTCTGTGCAAATGGTATTTTACTTACGATAGGGGTCTAGAGCTATTATGCAGTGAGAAAATCTAGTAACATAAATCATGAAAATGTTGTTTTTAATTTTAGTGATCTTACCTTAAGTGAACAGCTTCAAAATGCTCTATCAAAAGGTTTAAAGTTTTGTCTACCTACCCATAAACTTAGTTTCTTAAGTTCCTTTTTTCCATTTGAATGTATCTACAGAACTCTTAAATCCTTTCCTAGTTTTAACAAGATAACACACCAAACATAGAATGCCTTATCAAAACTAGATTTAAAAATGTGGCATTGTCCTCCTTCTAGAACTTCAACCCCTTAAAAAAAAACATTCTTCTATTATGCAGTTGAATTTTATACCTTAAAAGAACTTGCCAGTAATCGAAACGTCGTTGTTCAGCCAGATAAAAATGGAAGATATTTAAAATGACAGAACAGGGTTTAAACCCCTCGATAATGATTGGCTTCAGTTTACTCTCAAGCGTGAGAAAAAGCTTCAACAGACTTTAAAATATTTTTAAAATTATAGGTTCATCTCTGACACCACTTGTGCAGAACTTTATCCTACAGGTTCCTCCTCTGGTCTTATATGTGGCTTACTGAAAATACCCAAAAATGGTTTACCCCTCAAACCTATTCTATCTGTTGTTGGTTGCCATGCCTACAAGCTTGCTAAATATCTGGTACCTACATAAGCTCACTAACTAAGAATCAGTTTACTTTTAAAGATTCTTTTTCATTTGCTCAAGAGATATCTAAACTTCCTAATGTAAATCAATTCGTTATGTCCAGCTTTGATATTCAGTCTTTATTCACTAACATCCCACTTGAGAAAACAATTAAAATAATTATTAAACAATTATTTCCTACCAAAAATGCTCTGCACTCTAACTTTAACCAACAAAAATTTGAACACCTTCTTAAATTGGCCCTCAAAGAAAATCACTTTGTTTTTAATGGTCATCTTTATGATAAGATAGATGGAGTGGAGATGGGTTCACCTCTAGGTCTAACCCTTGCAAATATTTTTCTGTGTTATTACGAATGTTAATGGCTGGATATTTGCCCCCTTGTATTATATAGAAGGTATGTTGATGATACTTTTCTGCTTTTTCACAGCACTGATCATGCCAAGAAGTTTTTAGAATACTTAAACTCACAATATCCATGTATAAACTTTACATGTGAAATGGAAGAAAACAATAACTTAGCTATTTTAGATGTCCAAGTAAACAAAATAAACAATCTCTTTGCCACATCTGTTTACCGTAAGAAAACATTTACTGACTTATATACTCATTTTGACAGTTTCATACCAAACTCCTTCAAACATAACCTTGTTTTAAATCTTCTAAACAGATTGTATAATATCTGTTCTGACAACTTCTGTCTTCACTTCATTTCAAAACTTCATAACGTATTACAAAGTAATGGTTATCCACTTAATTTCTTGCACTCTATCACACAAAAATTTTTAACATGTAAAATAGAACCTATCATAAAGATACACATTGTCTCAAAATATCTACTAGTTGTTATTACTTCTTTCATTGGCAAACAAAGTTTTAAACTCAAATATTAGATTGAAAAAATAATCAAAACATATTACCCACTAATTAAGCTACATTTAGTATTTACGTCAGCATTTAGAATTAAAAATATGTTTAAAACCAAAGATGCTCTACACATTCTTATGTGCTTGTGGGTCGTATATCAATACACTTGTGGTTGCTGTAAAGCTACCTATATTGGTAAAACTACACATCACCTACAAATATATACACATGAGCACATGGGCATTTCAGCAAGAAGCAGATATAAGCTAAATAATCCACCAGAGTCTTGCATTTGATTGTACAGTGAGAATAACAACCACCCCATACTTCTAGAAAACTTTAAAATTCTCGACTCTGGAACCACAGATTACGAACTCTTTATTAAAGAAAGCCTTTCCATTTTCAATGATCACTCAACACTAAGTAATAATATCAACTGCTCGCTGTTGTCATTAATGTTTTTTTTATTTGATATTTATTATTATTTTAAAAATACAGTGCTTATATTTATACTTAATCCTTTCTCTATAATAGTTTTTCTTAACAGTGTTTAAATCTGTTCCTTCTAAAGTTTTGATTGAATACAAAAACTCACTCAATGGTAATGTTGTTTTTTGTAGGTCGAAAATTGTGAAATAACTTTTTCTTTGGAGATATTAATGCTGATGATGGAATTTTAAGGAAATTCTGAAACATCAGTAATAAAGAATTTTTTGGTATTACCATGTTCTTAATATTTATTATACATCTGTAGATATAATACAAATGATACTTTTTCTTAAAGTTACAATGATTATCTTCAAAATAAATATAGTTGCAATGAAATCAGTTGGGTATTATGGTAGTGGGGAAGGGTTAAGTCTAATTTTTATGTCTTGCTTTCAGGATTTTTTTTTACATCTTACAAAATCATTCATAATAGTTTTCTTCAAAAAAATATTTTACCTGTGTGGTATTATATTAATACTCAGTGTAAAGACCTATCTTTTGCCTTTAAAATTAGATATTTTATAAAGCTCTAAGTGAAGTGGTTTCATTTTATAGAAAAAATGTCAAACCTACCCTCAAGGCAGCAGAGGCTGTTTCTTAGTTTAGCCTTGTTTTGTGGTTTTCCTGTAAACAGTCATTTGATTGCATATTTCAAGTGATTACCATATAAAATTATTATATGATATTGAACAATGATTTACTCAATGAAGTGAAACACTCATCCACTATTTATCATTCTGTATCTTTATTACATTCCAATTTATTCAATGAAGCAGTGTGATTAAAGCAAAGAATGAAATAGTGCAAATCTCACTTGTCAGTGCTTGTGCCATAGCTTGCATTAATAAAAAGAGCATGGACTATCCTATTTGACTTCACATCTCTTAAAAAAACACAAATTATGTTTATTTGTACAATCCAATGTTTATTCGTTCCCAGTTTACTCATATTTCACTCATTACTCATCATCTGCATCTTAAAATACAGTCTCATCACTCTCAGAATCATAAATCTGGTCCACAATGTCATTATTGTCTGTCTCTGTAACATGTGAAATGTCCTCTAAATGAGACATCAATTCTTCAGGCATCTGTGAGCCACCGAACCACCTGATCCATACATGCAATCTTCTTCATACCACCCAGACCTCTTTGGATCCCACTCATTCAAATTTTGTGTATTTGCATGCTTCCACTTAGCTGCTACAAAGTTTTTTTTTGTCTTGATTTTCTCAAGAAGTGTACTATGACAAGGAGGAAGGATACTGGCAGCATTTTCTTTTATACTATCAAAAGGATTTTTCTAATCCTTCATGCAGTATCCCATCAACATATGGAAGATTAGCCAAGTCAGTGTTAATCGTCCACTTTGTGTGTGACGAGTACAAAACACCCTCAATAAAGGATGTTGAGAGAGAAAAGAGGGATGAAAGTAAAGATGGCATAACCATTACCAGTCCAGTCAAAAAGGTTTTTAACTTTCATGATGCTCTTTCTTTCACAAGGATCAAAACTTCATTGTTGAATTTTCTGATTGAGGAGTGGAAGAACGACTCTTATAGTAAAACAGTTGGGTTTTTCAAATTGTTAGTGGGTTTAATAGGTAACGGGTGGAAGTTTGAGGGAGGCAATGGTAAAGTGAACACAGTACATGTTCCTGAGTTAGATTACACACATGAAGAAGCAAACACATGCATTATCTGGCATATCTCATTTGTTCTTAGAAAATCACCAGTTAAAGCAAACACTTGTGTATGGCATACAGACACAGGTGTGATAGTTATTCTTTTGCATCATGTACCAGATATGGCATTTTGATATGGTACTTCTCTCTTCTCTCAAGATTAGCTATTCTTGTCCAGTGCTGTCCTATATATGCAAATTATTTCTTTATGCATGCCACAAGCCTTCTGCTCCCCCTAATTGGAATTGAATGATTCCAACATGTCTCTCATGTAAATCATCATGTGTCACTTCTCCACCAATAGGAGCATGACATACTCATGTGCTGCATATGATTCCCTCTATATGCCTTTACCGAACTGTAACTTTTCGTTTGGCAGCACTTGTGTTTGGATGTGTACCTTTTTGATTGTTTAAAGTTTCACATTTGTCTGTAGCATACTCACGAAGATATCTTCATTTATTTTCTCTTCTAGTTTCTATTAAGACTGGTTCTTAACTTAACTTTAATCCCAGTTTATTACAGTTGCATT